TCTTAATGAATAAAATATAAAGATAAATAATCTGCAAAAAATACAGAGCCACAATAGTGTAGTAAACACTGGCACCAAAAAGGGCTTATCTATCTATTGCATTCACAAACTCAGATGGTATATAGGCAAAATGTTATATATGAAGATGGACCCACCTTTTCTTTTCTTTGACTTTCTGTCCAGGTACACATATGGGTGGGGGGGGGAGGGGGAAGGAGTGACAGAAAATATAGTGTACTCTTGTATATAAATCCAAATTATTAAGGTTACACTCAAAGAAAAGTGATAAATAAGTCCAGGTTAGGGTCAGGAACACTATAGGGTCAGTATTAAAACCACTATCTAGACCCACTGGGCCCCTCATACCTCCATAAATATAGCAAAATCTTACTGTATTCAAGCCTGAAGCTGTAGATCTGCATGCTGTTTGCCTCAGGCAAACAATGCACCCCCATAGGATTGGCTGAGACTGACAGGGGCAGAGCCAGCATGATTCAAACACAGCTCTGGCCAATCAGCATCTCCTCATAAAGATGAATTGAATCAATGAATCTCTATGAGGAAAGTTCAGTGTCTGCATGTAGAGGGAGGAGATACTGAATGTTTGGATGCATTTTAGGCAGCCATGACCCAGGAAGGATGGAATCACTGAATTGCAGTGCTGCACACAGTGTAGCACTACCCCAGGAAGCACCTCTAGTAGCCATCTGAGGAGTGGCCAGTGGAGTTATCACTAGGCTGTAATGTAAACACTGCATTTTCTCTGAAAAGACAGTGTTTACAGCAAAAAGCCTGAAAGGTAATGATTCTACTCACCAGAACAAATTCAATAAGCTGTAGTTGTTCTGGTGACTATAGTGTCCCTTTAATGTTGTGTACTCTGCTTAATTTGATTTTTATATCAGCCTTTGAACCTCGATCCTCTTTTTCCTACAGAGCCCCGCAATTATGAAATAGCCTCAGGGACACAGTCAAATCTTCATTCAGTCTAAAATCTATGGCAATATACCTCAGCACAGAATGCACCTGTCATGGTTGAATATATTTATTAACTGTTATGTATTCAATTTATATATATGTGTGTGTGTGTGTATATATATATATATATATATATATATAGTTTGTATATTGTATTTTTGTAATATTGTACCCTATTGTAACTATGCAATGCTTTGTGGACAAAGACCCATTACATACTTGAAAACGAGAGAAACCTCAATGTATCCATCCTGGTAAATATTTTATAAATAAATAAATAAGCTTAATTTTGATAAAATTCACCTTAAAGTGATTCCCAGACACAGCATCATGTATTGGACGAACACCATCCAGGCCTCTGCAGTTAACATTGGCACCTGCCTGAAGTAATAACTCCATTACTTCTGTGAATCCTTTACATGATGCTTCATGAATTGCTGTCCAGCCTAGAAATAAACAAGCAATTGAATTGAGAAAATAGTGTTTGCAATTGAAAATACAGTAAATTAAAGAAGGCGCTGACCTGCATTATCTTTTACATTTACATTTATTTCCGCATCAAGAAGTTCTCTAACACGCGAAACATCTCCTTTCTTTGATGCCTGATGCAGTTTTGTTTCTCCCACTGCATTCCTCTTGTGTATATTTTCTGTAGGTCCGCAAAAGACATTTTGTTTGGAAGATAGTGAAAAATAAAAAATAAATACATTTAAATATATGTTTCTACTGTATATAAGTAAAAAAAAAAAAACAATTGCAAGTATGGATGTCTACCCATACCAGTGGGTCAGAAATAATACATTAATTTACTAGTTACCATAGCTTTATATACTCTAAATATGAGTATCTTTTGAAAAATGTGCAGGTGAAGTTAGCAAAGAGTTTTAAGAAGTCCACTAGGCACCATTAACGCTTCTTCTCATTGAAGTGGCTATGGTACCTGGACATCCCTGGTGCCATTCCATGATTCAGTGTTAAAAACTTGATCACTTTAACATTGTAGCCCAGCCCCTTTCAGCTGTTGCTTATGCTCAACACTGAACTGTGGGGTAGTAGCAAGGAGCACTAGGGACTATAACTACTACTACAATGAATTATAGTGGTTGTGTTGCCTAGAGTGTTCCTTTAAGAGCCAAACTAACAATTAACATGTTTTACTTGTTTCTTATTTAGTGGAAATACTATCTCAATTCTATAATGGATTCTACCAATTCTCAACAATTGCATTTCATGTGCATGTGTCACCTGAAAGTTAATTTATATAAATCGATTTAAATAGATGCTACCAAGAGATTCATATCCTTTTAATCAAACCAAGCTATAGTAAGGTTTGCTGTAGTTACCACTAAAATATGTGACTGATTTTCTAAGTGGATGTGGCAGTATTTGAACTGCATATGAAGACATATTTTATTTGAACAAAAAACATTTGCTGAGAGAATATGATTTTAGCAGCCAAACAGAATCTGGGATTTCAATAACTTTCAGCTTTCCACTGTGCAGAGAAGAGAGACAAACGTGGCAACATAAGCAAATGAGGGTGGGACAATCTTTTATTAAACAAGAATGTCTCACCCTCTTAGAGAGCACAGTGGTACAACTTTCAGTCTTCAAGGCACTCAATTCTATTAAACATTCTTACAACCTCGCTGTTTGTCCAGGCAAAATTTTACTTTTGCTAGCAGTATTTTAAATGCCTGTGGTGCAATGCAATATGTTTTTCTGTGTTTATTTGTACCAATTATAAGGTAAGTCCTTTTTGTTTATTCTAAAAATAATAATATCATAGAGTGGACTACAGATTTCTCATTCACAGAAACCTGGGCTTACATTGTATATATTTTTTTTTTGTCAATCGACATTTTTATTAAGGCACAATGCATAATAACAGGAGTTGAACAGTGCAACATATATGCAGAGACATGAAGTGGTTGTACAAGAATCATAGTAGAGTGCTGAACCAAAGCTATGCGCACATGAAAGGAAAACAAAATATTTAAAAGAAAAAAAACTACGACAAGGGGACATAGTCTTAAACTAGAGCAGCAAAGGTTTAAAAATATCAGGAAGGATTACTTTACTGATAGGGTAGTAGATGCATGGAACAGACTTCCAGCTGAAGTGGTAGAGGTTAACATAGTGAGGGAGTTTAAGGCTATCCTAGATGTAAGAGACTAATGAAAGTATTTAGGAAATGGACAGACTAGATGGGCCGAATGGTTCTTATCTGCTGTCACATTCTATGTTTCTATTACACACGGTATATTAGAGCCTCATTTTAAATTAAAATAACAGTGCATGTAGAAATCACTAGTACTGTTACTTTTATGCAAGAGAATAAATGTAAGCATGCTTAATAACCATTAAACCACGCAAAGTGGATTACCTTATACTACCCCCAGGTGTTATGAGGTAATTCAGATACGAAACGATTATAAAGTAAATTAAAATCAAAGATATTTGCATCAAGCTGGGGTAGGATGCAGTAGGATGTCTGGCGAGCTGTTCAGCCTATGCCTGTTGCGAGCTGGATACAGTCCCCCAGATTCGTAGAGACCTTCAGGCCTAGTGCTCCATGTGCAGGTATTGGTCCTGTAGAGCTTGTTGGTGTCTGTGTGTGTGCACCCCATGCACGCCTCATATTTGTGCAGATGCCATGCTGATTTGGGTTTCTGCTTTCCAGAGGCATGGATGTTCGGCATCCGGCGCCTGATACATTTTGGTTGTGTCGTGGTAGTTTCCGGTCGGTAGTGAGTGCGTCGTGGAGAGCCCAGGGGGTCATGGATGACCCACGAGACATGCTTGTTCCACTTGTCTCTCAGCTTTCTCCAGTAGTATTAAAATATTTCATGAAGGCGATAAGTGATAGTGAGGGCGGGGCACATGTGGCGTCTGCCATTTTAGAAGTACCTCTGTTGGGACAGTTGGTGAGTGTGGCACTACCACAGGGTTTTACACGTCTGGGGAGCCTCCAGGGTGGGGACTGTGATCATCCCCATTGGTCCGAAGTCTCAGTTTGGTGGAGTCCTGGCTGGGCCCGGCTATTGGCCGCATCTACCTTCCACAGCGCCTGTTAGGCCTAACAAATGGCAGTAGGAATCTTTGGCCAAACAGCACCAAATTACAGCGGGAAGTGTTCCCAGTTGATTTGGCAGTACAAGAATAGGATTTTAGCCCTAGTTTGTGAGCCAAAAATGCCGGTAAGAGAAGGTAGAGTTTCGGTAGGAGCTCCTGTGAAACGTGACCTATTGCCATGACAGTCAGGCCCTGTTGCCCTACCTCGTATATAAATATATAAATTATTTTTTAAAAATGTTTAAAAATATAACAGGAACAGTTTAATTACTCAATAAAAGCCTAGTAAAACTTAAAAAAAGTATGCTACTTGTATTTACATTATTATTATTGCCATTTATATAGCGCCAACAGATTCTGTAGCGCTTTACAATATTATGAGAAGGGGGGGACAATTACAAGAAAACTTACAGGAACAATAGGTTGAAGAGGACCCTGTTCAAACAAGCTTACAGTCTATAGGAGGTGGGGTATAAGACACATTAGGACAGAAAATATCAATCAAATAAGGTGGGAGTGAAGCAGAGCTGGAGGAGACAGTAAAGCACTGCCCTATAGGAGAGAGCAAGAGACAGATATGTAAGGTAGAGGTTACTCTTGGAGGCCATAAGCTTTCCTGAATAGATGTGTTTTAAGGCACTTCTTAAATGTTTGAAGACTAGGGGAGAGTCTGATGGCGGTAGGCAGGCAGGCAATTGCATAGGAAAGGAGCCGCACACGAGAGGTCATGCAAGCTATTTTGCAATTCCTTGTTGAAATGTGGAGAATATAAACAATTAAATTGCATTTATTACAATGTATGTTATTGTAATCCTATTATTATTTTAAATTGTGTTTAATCCCTTAAGAACATAAGACACAGTACTGCATCATGCTTTGACGTGGAGTACAAACATATGCTGTAGCCAGTGCTCCTCCCTGGTCACATATATTGTGTGCATAGGGGTGTAGTGTTTGTAAAGGGGGCTGTCTTAAATTATAAAAAAAAATTAAAAAATTATTATATATATATATATATATATTTCCCCTTTCCTGTTGTTACCCTGCAGGGAGGGGGGGGTGGGGCATGTACACAAGCAGCTCAACCATATTTACAACACTTCACAAGCAATTCCCCCCAACACATATCCTCCCACAAAGAGATATACAGTCATGTGAAAAAAAAAAAGTACACCCTCTTTGAATTCTATGGTTTTACATACCAGGACATAACAATAATCTGTTCCTTGGCAGGTCTTATATTTAAGTAAATACAATCTCAGATGAACAAAAACACTGGACATATTGCATTGTGTCATGATTTATTCAATGCAAATAAAAGCCAGAATGGAAAAGCCATGAGTGAAAAGGTATTTACACCCTTACTGCTTCCATATGAATTAAGAGGCTAAATAGCAGACAGAAGCTGCTAATCAAATGCCCTTGCTTAATTGATCCCCAGTAAATGTGACCTCCTCTATAAAAGACAAAATTTTAGCAGTTTGCTGGTCTGGAGCATTTAGGTTTAACACAATGCCAAGGAGGAAATACATCAGCAATGACTTTAAAGAAGTAGTTGTCGCTGCCCATCAAACTGAGAAGGGTTATAAGACCTTTTTAAACTATAAAGTCCATCATTCTACAGTGAGAAAGATTATTCAAAAGTGGAAAACATTCAAGAGAGTTGCCAAACTTCCTAGGAGTGGACGTCCCAGTAAATTTTCCTCAAGGTCAACCAGTGCAATGCTCAGAGAAACATATCAGACTCTACAGGCCTCAGCTAGCATGTTAAAATGTTTGTGACAGTACAATTAGAAGAAACTGAACATGTATGGTTTGTTTGGAAGGGGTGCCTCTTCTCTATAAGTTGCATCTGAACAAACCACAAGACTTCTGGAACAATGTTCTTTGGACAGACGAGTCCAAAGTGGAGATGTTTGGCCATAATGAACAGTGCCACCTTTAGTGAAAACCAAACACAGAGTATCAGCACAAACACCTCATATTAACTGTCATGCATGGTGGTGGAGGGGTGATGATTTGGACTTGTTTTGTAGTCACAGGACCTGGGAACATTCCAGGACTCCTCTGTATACCAAAGTATTCTAAAGTCAAATGTGAAGCCATCTGTCTGACAGCTCAAGCTTGGACGAAATTGAGTCATGCAACAGGACAATGATCCCAGAACAGAATAGCAAAAAAATAAAGAATCAAGGTGTTGCAATGGCCTAGTAAAAGTCCAGACTTCAACCCGACAAATTCTGTGGCGGGACCTTATGGAAACTGTGCATAAACAAATGCCAGCAAACCTCAAGACCACTTTAGTGATTTGAGATAATCATGGTGGTAGGAGTATATATATTCCCTTTGCAGGCAGTATTTGTAGGTAGGGGGGACCTCCCTTCTTCTCCCTCTGCTTATGGCCCAGAGCACGCGCATGCGCTCTGAGCCAGCGAATCAGTCCAATCATAGGATTCTCTATGAAAAGCCTGTGATTGGACTGTGCAAGGCCCGTGTGGTGTAGGAAGTGGTGTGGAAGTCAACACCGCTTCGCCTGGTGCTGGATTCAGGAAAGTCAACTTCTCCATAGCGCCCATTAGGGAACTTTACATAATAAAGGTACCCTCCTCAAATAGGGGCTGGAGTAACCCTTTAACTTGTGTTAACATACTGTTGTCTTTTAAATTTATATTAGTATATTTAACAAAGGACCATATGTTTTCTCTATGCCTAATGCCAATTGTGAAGGACAAAGCTTGCAACAATGGCTGCTATACACAGAGTCAAGATGTAGGTGCCCAGTTGCAGGATAGAATAAATTTTACATTTACTTTTTTATTCGCACCTCACAGATACATAGTTCTTACATACAAAGGATACATAAACATAATATTAATATTTTTGGAACATTTCTCTTTAATATAAACAAATGCTTGCAATAAAGTAATATAAACAATACCTTTTTCCCTGGACAACTCTGGATCATTATCACCGAACGTCTTAGAAGACACTTGGGACTGTGATATGGTTTCTTCATTAATATTTAAAATGACAGGTGATACATCGCGATCGCTTAAATCTGCAACATCTTCAGGAGTAACTAGACATTCTGTATCATTTGACCTCTCAGAAGTTGAGCCAGTCTGAAAATTGTCTAAAAGGGTATGGTTTCTAACAGAATTTTTCTTTGTGTAAGAATGTTCACATTGAGCATCTTTACTACAACGGCACATTAAAGATGGATTTTTCTGAGCACATTTAGTTACATTGTCCATTGTGCAAATGAAATTATTTTGACTTTGGTCTTTGACATTTTCTGTCACACTTTTACTATTACTGTTAGATTCATCATTTCTGATGCATGCTGATTCCAACATGTACTCTGAAAAACAAATATCAGATGAGAAATTCGTATTCTCAAGTACAAATGAAAATTCATTAAAAAAATCTTCAGATGTAAAATAAATGTCCGTGAATTTAATTTCAGCTGTGTTTGATTTCTCTGCTGCATTAAGATGATGACAATTTGTGGGGACATCCTTTTGTTGCACTCTGAAAGTGTCTTTAGTAGGCCTTGGAGATGACTCTGCAGTGTTTAAAGCAACATCTTTACTGGTGTTTAAAGGATTTACATGAGAATTTGCGTATGCTTCATTCTGAGAACAACCTTTGATAGGACTAATTGAGGAATCTTTAGCCAGAGTAAAGGGACAACTCTTGGGTGTTGTGTTAACAGAGCATGCAGATATGTTTTCGGGATAGAAATGCTGTGGAATGATGGAAGAAAGCTTCAATGGAGTGCTGGAAGAAATATTGGTCAGAATGTTGGAAGATATTTTGAGTGGAATGCTGGAAGAAATATTGGTTAGAATGTTGGAAGATGTTTTGAGTGGAGTGCTTGTAGAACTCCTTGGCAGAACTGCGGAGGGACTATTGATCAGAGTGTTGCAAGAGTTATTGTGTGCCATGCTGAATGAACTATTGGGCAAACTGCAGAAAGAACTGTCTGGAGGAGTGTTGGACAGACTCTTGTGTATGGCACTGGAAAAATCCTTTGATAAATTGGCCTGAGAAACACAATGCAGAATATTAGAGGATTTTTTATGAGGACTAATAGAATAAACCTTGCGTAAACTGTTGGAAACAGTGTTTATTGGGCTAATTGGATAGCTATTAACATTACGGTGTGTGGAAGGGTTATTTAAAAGAATTTTGGAAGCACACTTATCAAGAGAGACAGAAGAATTCTTGTACGGACTGATGGAGTAATTTTTAAAAGGCCTAGAACAGGAATGATTTTCACAAGAAAGGTTTTGAGCAATGCCAGATGAATCTTTATTACAAAGGTCATGCAAATTGGTTACAGAATTATAATCTGAAGTGTTGGAAGAATCCTTGTTCAGAACACTGCAGGGCTCATTAGGAGCAGTGCTGGAAAACATTTGGTTTGGACTGGTAGAATTCTTAGGCTGATACTTTGGAGAAACTTGATTACTACTAAAGGAAGCATCTTGCATATGTACAAAGTTCCCATTAGGAGCACTATCTAATGACAGATGACACATAGATGAGTCAACAGATGATTCTAAGTAAACAGTAATAGCGTGTTCTGCACAATTGGAAATAATCAATTCATCACATTCCATACTAGAAGTATCATGTGTTTTGTATTTGGTAGATGCCATCACTTCTTGTGGTTGAGATGTTGTTTGTTGCATTTCTGTTTCATATTTCTTAAAGATTTCTAAACCTTTGTTCTCAAGAGGATCATCCAATGTCTTTTGGGGACCACTAAGTGTCAGGTTTTCTATACTCTTATGGATATGGCTCGTTTTCCTTTTTCCACAATAGTGTTTGCTTTTTTTTTCATGCTCAATGAATGTATAGTCATTTTGTACAGCAGGTTCCTTTCCTTTATGTAAATTAGTCTCATTTTCATCTGTTTCATTGTCTTTGTATTCAGCGGCTACAATATTTCCTGGATTATTATTTGTAGTTTCCTTGTGCAAAGCTGTTGCAGACCTTTTGGCTGAAAGATTGCATATTAGCACATTAACGTTTTTTATATATATATATATATATATAAAATCTTTTTCAAAAATATACAGCAATCAATATCCCAAATTACATTATATTTCCTGGTATAGCAATACTGAAGACAGATGTTTTTGTAAGATGATTAATGGTTGGTAGAAATTTAAATAAATGAGGTAGCACAAAGGCCTGCTGTGCAGGATTCCTTGCGGGTATTTCTGCCATGCAGAAAATAGCCAATATCCACAGCTTTGTGGAAAACTCCTGTAAGGTGGCATGATATGAGGTTAGCACAACTACTCTACTTTGGAAAGTTTTGACACTTTTCTTGCAGGGTCGGGTGCCAGTCTGGGAGTGCCTAATGAAGCAGAAATTCATACATCATCATTATCCTACCAACTCATACCAGGTTTAGATAGTATTCATTGGTTGAGGCCGAGGGCCATCAGCTAAAAGACTAAGCATCTCAGACCAGAATGATCATAGACTCTCAATACAGAAAGATAAGTGTCATACCATTTACAAATAGTTTGTCAGATTACCAGCGGATGACACCCAGAGTCTACGCCAGTAGCTCCCCTTTTACAAAACTGAGTGAGAAAAATATGAGGCTAATACACTATTCCTGATTGAAACCTCAGTAAAGAAAGGAAGTTCAGTGGCAGAGCTAATTCGTGCCAGACTGAAGACTTTGGAATTAAACCGTTGTTTTTTATTTGTGGTTTAATCCCTTGGTAAGCAAGCACCCAGAGGCTCCTCTCACCATAACAACTTCATTAAGATTACATTTGTATGGTCCTCGGAGTGTCCTTTTAACTAATTTTGGCTTTTAAGATTCCCGAAATGCGATATCTTTGATATGAAATGGATAAGTCTAGCCATCAACATAGAGTTCAGTTTAATATGAATGACAAATTCTGCAACAACAAAGCCACCCTGGTAGTAGTTAACAGCGTAAAAATAAGAAAAGAAAAAAAAAAACGTACCGAAACACGTTCTCTTCACAAATGTTTTTAGTGCAAATTAATTATTTTTTTTATTTATAAAATACCTACAATTAAACAAAGACAGAAGATTTAGAAACTTCTCGTCTACGGTTTCATCAAAGGCTGTCTTGCCATTCTCTGTAACTAAATGAGGGTTTGCACCAAACTTCAGAAGAAGCTTTGCCACCTTAAAGAGAAAAAAAGATTGTGAAAGATCATTTATTAAAGCCCAAAATGGAAAAATGTTTAAAGTTGCAGCTATTAAACTTGTAAACCTACCATGACCCTTACTTCACATATTACTTTTAAATAATAAAAATTATATGAATAGTTAAAAAAAGCTGTGATGTTGCCTCCATTATTGCCTTTCATACAGTTGCAAAGTATGTCACTGTCAGGAATCTGAAGAATAAAATATGGGCAGGATGGTTTTGCAGAACTAAAGGTGTGAAAAGCAGTTTCTCTCTAAGACTTATTCCATCTCATTCAAGATGGATGAGGTAGATTGGTGCAACTCTGGAAGTGAACACGTGAAAGCATAAATTTAAGGAGAGTCTCTGGAAGTTAAAATTAGTAGGGATGCACCGAAATGAAAATTCTGGGCCGAAATCGAAACTTTAGGATGCCCTTGGCCAAAAACCGAAACCGAAAATGACTTTTTCCCCCTAAATTATTT